CCTGTTGTATCATCTAATCTATAATCTATAAAACACCAGTGTGCTTGGTGGTCTTTCTATCAAGGACTAGATCATAGCAAATGGAATAGATTACAGCACCACCTAGTGATAATACGGTGTGGAATTTTATCTGGTTTGAGTTATGCATTGCAACACAGAAGCTGGTTTCATGACCTCGTGTAATGAAATGCAGTCTCTTGGTCTGCCTGTATTCACAATTACAATTTTTGCTTTTTCAGAACTTAAAAGTTTAGGAAGAAGGATTTCAGATTTGAAATTCACCACTAATGCTTTTTGTAAACTTAATAATAATAATCCTTGCATTTGATATAGCCCTTTTCATGTCTTCTAGACCTCTGAAAGCACTTCACAGAATATACTGTAAGTGAATTGACTGTATATTTGTGGGTGAAATGCAGCAGCCAATTGCACACAGCAGTGTCCCACAAATAGTTGTGAATTGAAGTGAGCAATTTATTTTTTTTATCTTGAGGGATTATTATCAGGTGTATGGAGTAGGGAAACTACTCACTTCTTATGAATTTATATTTAAAAGTAAAGAGGCTTCTGTTGAAAATGCACTAACCTGAATTTCTTGGCGACAGAAGGCTGTGCAAATACCAATGAAAACCATAAGCAAAGATTTTAATGTGCTCGATATCATAGCTCACAGTCTCTGAAATAGCCATGGTTGGCAAATGCTTAGCACAATGCTGCATCTGGAAATAGTAGAGCAGAAAATATTGTAATAGCTATATTTGGTTGGTAATTCTATATTCCAGCCACCAAAATAAATCCACCCTATTTGGCCAAGTTATGTTTTACTAGTTTAATTTGTAAAAGGCAATCCGCTCTAAAAGGACCACATTTTGCCCTTTGAGAATATTGTCCCCATATTGCACATTGTGCAACAGGATTCGTTATCCTACCAACGTATTTCTGCTCAAATTAACCCTACTGGAATCTGCCTTCTGCAACATAAAATAACCCTATAAAATACCCTCCACTTGATGCAGATGAATTCTACATGGCTCCTATGAACAGTATCTCACCACCCAGGAGAGGACTGGAGAGGAACTGGTATATGTCTTTCATGACCTCCCTGCAACAAAACGGGAAACTCTGAATATCTGTTCTTGATACCACCAATGCCACAGATATTGAAGAATTAATGGTGTCAGAACTGTAAATTTTCTGGTCACGAATGACCCAGTCTCCAGACCTCTTGGTAGGAGGTGCTGGAAGCAACATGAGCAAGCAGTGGTCCCATCCCTGCCCAGGCACAGCCATATGCTGGTTCGGCCTTCTCTCAGAATGATGAGGGATGTCTCCATTTCTCCCTTTATTTCCCCCCCTCCCCCTGACCTGCAGGTTGTCCCAGATTCGCTTTGGTGTAATCCTGCGCTCCCATAGGGGTCCCGGATGAAACGTTTCTGAAATGTTTGCCAATGAAAGTGATTAATATAAGGACTGTGCACAGAGATGGTTTGAAAATTGAAAACTGAGAGTTTTGTGTGGGCCTTCAATGTACATTCACTAACCCTTACACAAACATGCAAATCTCAGGAGATCATGGGACCAGACATGACTCAACTGGGCCCAGATCTTTCTGTTTAAGACCCTGTGGAGGGCAACATGATCTCCAAACTCCCAAGTGCTCTGAGCTCCCAATCCACCCTGTGTGTCAGTGAGTCGCACTGCAAATTGAATTTCATTATTTATTTAACACGTAATGTTGCCCGAAAAAGGGTGTGAATCTTGTGCAACTGTTTGAAAATGCACATTTTTTAAAACTATGGAAATACACCAGAACATAACTGCAAACTCTCTAATTGGGTTCCTTGGAAAACACATATTGGGAGTTTTCAGCTGTGGGCTGAAGGTTAAGTGAGTCGCATAAACTGATTAAAAAAATTGTCACTTTAGTGCTGTAAGTGCAAACAAAGTGCCTTTCTGTGGTTGCAGTTACACCCTGCAGAATAGGGTACTCCGATCTGCTTCTTACTGGTTGACTGGTTTCTTAAGGTCAGGTCCCCAGATAATAATGGTTAAGGTTAACGAACATTACCCAGAATTGCCTTAACAGATTGGGTTCTTGTTAAACTACACAATGAGCACTTAGAACCTCCTCAGAATCTCGTGTATCGGAGCCAGATTCTTCATGTGCTTCTTGCCAGAGAACCTCTTCAAGGTCCTCGGCATTTTGTGACCTCAAGTAAGTTTTTGGCTAGCAATGTGGATTGATGCCAGTCTGTCTCCTATGACCTGGGCCAATAGAAAAGTGCGGGTACATTTTCCCCGCGGAATCTGCTACAAACAACCACCTTCACTACAATCCCACTACAAATGTAGTTTCTGGCCCGCAAGCCTCCTGACCGTTTACCTGAGGTCACTGTGGGAGAGCGCGGCTCCAGACGTGCGTGTGTGGTGTGGAGCAAGGGGCAAATGAACTTCACTCAGAGGCCCCGCTGTTGTGATTGTGTGTGTGCGAGAGAGAGAGTGTGAGTGTGTATGATTGTCTGTGTGTATGTCTGTCTATATGTGTCTGTGTGTGTCTCTCACTGTTTGTACAATTGTCCATCAATCTCTCTCACTGTTTGTGTGCATCTCTCTTATCTGTGTGAGTATGTCTGTCTCCCTCCCTCTCCTCTGTATGTTTTTGTGGGTGTGCCTGTGTGTGTCTCTCTGTGTTTGCGAGTGTCTCCATGTGAGTGTACGTCTCTCTCTTAGAATGTGTGCGACTCTCTTTTTGTGTATGTGTGTCACTCTGCGTATGTCTCTCTCTCTCTCTCTGTGTGTGTGTGTGTGTGTCTCTCTTTCTCTGGGTCTTTGCGCGGTGCTGAGAGCTCCTGTAGCCTCGCTGGTGTCCCCCCTTTCTCCACCCCTAAAAAAAAGCCACATAGTTTTTATCAAAGAAGCAATTAATATTTTTTTTGCAACAATCTAATATGTGTTATTTCCTCATCTTTAGTTTTTTATCAATAAAGTTAAAAAATGTAGATTAGCAGTAAAATGTACCTCAATAGCACCAATCAACTCCCCGCCATTTTCTGCAAAAAATTCCCCCACCATTTTCCGAACCTTTTGTTCAAATCTCCCCACAATTTTTGGCAAATATTTTCACACTTTTCTATTGGCCCAGCCTATGACACACAGGCTGTTGGTTGCCATTGTAGTTGTGGTATATTGCATTTGTAACTTTTCACGCTTTACATATTTTATGCCACTGACATCTTTTCTGATAATACAGCAAAATGTAGTTGTGCCAATGTGAGGAATCAGTAAATAATAAAAGAATACTCGCATTTAACAAGGCGCATTTACAACAACAAGATTACATTTGTATAGCGCGTTTCGCATCGAGGCACGTCCCAAGGCACTGACGTCTTTGAGGATGTCTCAAAGGGGTTCACAAGATTTTAACTGTAGAATGTAATGACTATCTGTAGGAAAACATGGCAGCCAATGTATGCACAGCAGTGATCCACAAGCAGCTGTGAAGTGGCTGACCAATTTTACCTGGAGGTTTGCTGCAATGGATACAGGGAGAAACTCCCATCAAATGATTAAGGTTTCCATGGCTCCTTGCAGGTTTAACTAGAAAACATGCTCAAAGTATGTGGACATACTATTCAGTCTCCTTTTGAGTAGGGTTACTCCCAATTCCAACTCTTAATGTCTACATTTTTGCCAGATCTCCACTCAAAGCATTATTTCAAATGTGTGTGATCCGTGCAAGTTAAATCCAATGTAAAGACATTTTTTTTTTAGGCACAGGTTGCGTTTCATTCTCTGAAAATATATTGCTTTTAATAAGACAAATAAACTTGTGTGCTTGATTTATATGCCATGACTTTCCAAATAGTCAAATACACTTTCACATTTGTTTTTACATTTTGAAAAGAACAGATTGGCATGTGCTTTCGAAGGCAAGAAACTCTGCTTGGGCCAACAATTTCCATTAATTCACTGAGCAACAAGGTGGATTTGTCTTTATTAATTAATTAATACAATTAATAGTTATAGTTCTTTCACTGAAAAAAATAATAATAGTTCTTTCACTGAAAAACACTTTAAGTAGTCTAACAACCATTTGTATGTAGAGGACCAGATCTGAAGCATGAAGTGCAATTGTTCATTATATGGCACGTCTGTTATCTCAATGAGGCAGAATTGAGATATGGTTCTGCATATGGATGACCCACCCTCATGCCCTCTCTTGGAATACTGTACTTGGAATTTGATAAAGAGCTGGCCACGTCTTCCAGCCAGGAGTATTTATACTGAGCATTGGTAGCAGTAGTGTTGGGAGTGGGGGCAAGGTGGTGCCCATTAACAAAAGGCTTCTGTTATTTCTACATCTACAAGAGATGGGTTTGAGTTCAAATGTTTATATGTGGATCATCAAAATAACTGTTCCGAGTAACTTCCTTCTGCTTTTAAGAGAATTAGATTAGTTCCTGTTGTATACAAATTTGGATTGAATTTCCTGGATTGACTCACAATTCTCAATGGCACAATTCTGGTGCATGAAAGTCTCGTACCTTTTAAACTTATTTTTACTGTTTCAACAATGTGGGAAATCTATATCATGTTTAAAATTGTACCAGTACCATTGCTTATTTTCCTGGTGAAAGTGCTCTACGTTCTATTACATTTTGAATTTCCAAAATGATTCCACAGACTTTATGCCTCCAGGTCATTGCTATCACATCCAGTTGTGTAAGATGACATTTCCAACAGCTTTTTTATTCTAATCATTTGTGCTATTCATGTGCAATGGGGAGAAGGAGAGGGAGACTAAATGGCTCTTTGGGAAAACAGGCAGAATGGGCTGAATGGCCTTCTGTTGCCTTCTGTGTTGTAAATGTTATGATTTGGGCGCTTAGCAATGCAGAACAATGAATGCCAGCACCTCAGGGGTTAATATGGCTGTACGGTTTTAAAATGTTGTAAATGGCATGTACGTAACATAGTTTTTTTTAAATGGTTTGTTGCAGTGCTGGTCCAAAAGGAGACAACATATACGAGTGGCGGTCTACCATACTCGGTCCTCCTGGGTCAGTTTATGAAGGCGGTGTTTTTTTTCTGGACATCACTTTCTCATCTGACTATCCATTCAAACCACCAAAGGTAATATGACGCTTTGTTTAAATGTATGTGGTATGAATGTATTTCAAAAGGTCACGGTCATCGCACTTGTGGAGCACTTACATTTTAGCTTACCAACAAATACCCTTGATTCATATTTTTTTCAAAACGGTTACATCTGTGCATTATTCAAAAGGTGTTTTGCTTTTGCTTTGGTCTTCAGCTAAGTAATCAAGTCTATAACACTTCTCCACCCTGCACTGCTAAACTTTGAAAGTTAGAATATTTGGATAAATAACGTTTTCTTACTATGTAATCTGTTCGCTTGTCCAGTCATATCACAATCTCATCATTTTTGGTTGCTGCCACAGAAATCAGTAGAAAGCAATACAGTGAAAGTGATAAATCACCCCTGGGATAAGTCGTCAACTTCACATAACCAGTCATTCACTTTCAGTATCCTGGCTCTTGAGGTATTTTGTACTTTTGGGATACTGTAATGTGGATAACTAGTCGACACAGATAAGTAGTCATTTGAGCTATTTCCCTTGGGGTGACGAGTTATCAGTTTCACTATATTTAACTTAATACCATTACCTTTCCATCTGCTGCCCAAAAGTACATTGGAGAAAACAAATGGATATTGATCACTGTTATAGTTGAAGCCCGTGAAGATGTTATTTAATTATGTCGATCTTTAAGATTCTCCAATTCCGACATTTAGACCCTGTAGAGATTGTGCAAATTTATATTTACAGCAGGATTTAATTTTTCAAGCATCTGGTTACAGTGGGAAATACATTCAATATGACAGTACATGAATGAGGTCCAATATTCTGTGCTTTATTCCTTAAGAATTGAAAGTAATTTGAGTGTTAAGTTGCAAAAACTAATGTGTAACTCTTTCAATAAAAAATGACTGGAATTTTTATTGAAAATGTTATGGTATTCTGTAATCAACATCCTGATTTTAAATATGGAATTTGTTACCTACCTGTCATCTCATTTGTGAAAGTTAGCCCCATTGAAATTAATGGAGATTCAAATATAAGTTATTAGTCTTTCTCAGCACTGCAGGCCAATGTTTGAACTCTTATTTTCTGTAGATTTTTTAGGCCAGAATGGTACTTTTCGACATACTGTTTTGTACCATCTTTAAATTGGTTCTAATCTCAAAATCTGCCCACTAAATGGTATTGAAGCTGAATGCATTTGAAGAAGGCATCTTTTGTTCGGTCTTTATAACTAGCTGATGTTTGAGTTTCTGAAATAGAAGGATTGTTTCCTAATCCCTATCTTCTAGCTTTCTAATTTGAAATCTGTCCTGCTGAATAGGGATCTACTCTTTCCCCGGTGAAGGCTTCCGGCTGAAATGTTAGCACATCTTTTTCCTTAAGGTGTTGATTGATTGGCTTTGCATTTCTAGCATTGTTTTTATTGATTCGTAAACGTCCAACCCCACTCCTTTGCTCGCGCCTTTTCACTTGGCAAACCCGAGCCTGCTGTGCATTCCTTGCCCCCTCCATCGCACCATCCAAGACTGAGCCTTCCCATCTGTTGGACCTCCCTTGCTTTACAAACCCTTTCTCTCTCTCTCTCTCTCTCTCTCTATATATATATGTAATAAATAATAAGTTGGAACATTTAATCAAGTAGAATTCAATGGTTACCTTTGCATATTGTCTTCAGGTAACTTTCCGGACCAGGATCTATCACTGCAACATCAACAGTCAGGGAGTGATCTGTCTGGACATTCTGAAAGATAACTGGAGCCCAGCTCTGACTATTTCAAAGGTTCTACTTTCTATTTGCTCGCTCCTGACAGACTGCAATCCAGGTAAATAAATACTCTTGAATTACCCAACCTGTGGCTTTTTATTATGCATTCACCCCTCCACGCTGCTTATCCCTGACCTGATCACTTCTGGGAAATTGAAATCCTACATGATGATCACATTACTATTTCTAGTAATCACTCTTAATTGCCTTAACTACTCTCTGCTATTCCCAATTTCTATCCGGATTACTGTGGCCATCTCTTCTACTATATCGTTGCATATCTTTCAAGTTCTTAACTTACAGAATAGTCCTCAACCTCCAGAAAGTTTTGAGTCTTGAATAAAATGTTTGATATAAAATCTTGAATAAAATCTTCGTCTGTGCTTTCGATCCCCTGCTTTCCCCCCCCACCTGCCCTCCACCCTCCGCAATGCCGAACCCCAGCTCGGGTCTGAAACTCTGACTGCCCAGCGCCTTGGGACGTCCCCCTGACGTAAAAGGCGCTATACAAATGTAATTTTGTTGTTGTTGTTGGTATGGAAAGAACTATCTTTCATATGATTGAGTTTTTCTCCCAATCATTACCATAAGGAGTGCAATGTAAGTACAGAAAATGCTACTAAAAAGACAATTAATTCTTTAAAAGTCACTCTTTGTAAACTTCATCTTTGAATATTGATTAATATATCTGAGTGGATTGCATTATAGTGTAGGTGGCATGTTTGTCCTGTTTGAGAGCTTATGTTTCTGAGATTCTAATCTTTGTATCTCATTCAATTCTTTGAAAGGTACTGCTACCAGTGACCATATGTTAATTAACCTCTGTCAAAATAACCAGGTTGCAGTTTCTTCCAATACATTTTTGAATTAGATTTTAAATGACTTATTAAATATCACTGCTAAACTGACAGTTTAATTTATCATGTCTTTGAAAACGATGGGTAATAAAAGAAGAAATGTAACAAGTGGGCAGGGTGGAGGTGGAGTATCTTCAAACTCTTTGTCTCAATTATGGCTTTAATCAAACATTCTTTCCATTTTACAGCGGATCCACTAGTTGGGAGCATAGCAACCCAATATTTGACCAACAGAGCAGAACATGACCGGATAGCCAGACAGTGGACCAAGAGATACGCTACATAAATTGCATTCTTTCCTGTGCTGTGAAAAGGAGCAGGAGGCATTATTTACAATGTGCAACAATTCTTTATAGCCTTTACAATACGGACTTCTGTGTATATGTTATACTGATTCTAATCTCTGCTTTTATCCTCTGAAGATTGGGATAAGCCCCTGTAAAAGGTAAATGCTATTGAAGTAGATCTTTGTAGCAGTAGATTAGTTATGTTTAAATGCCTACTTGCAAGTCTGCTTCTTTGGGATATCAAAATGTATTTTGTGATGTAAAAGGAAAATGTTCCTCAAGTCAACCAAATATTATGGTGCATTTTAGCCTAATCCATTATCTGTATGAAATCTGATAATAGCTGTAGATGATTAGAATTTTGGCATTCGTATTAAACCCAGTTCCATTTTCAATCATGTGGTACATGCTGTTGTGTGCTCCGTTTTACCTTTGTCAATTTGTAATGAAGAGATTTCATTTAAACCTTTGTAGCTCTAAATAATGAGCACCTGATGTATCATCTCAAAAGACAATAAACTTGTTTCCCAGGTTATTTATTTATTTATTTTATTTTTCGAACTATTGTGTTTTTTGGGAGAACAGAATAGGCCAAGAGACGTGCGTGTGTGTGTGGGTGTGCACGGTTATGGTTAATCGCTCCTTGGAATACATCTGTGGTGCATTTTTGAAACAGTAGCACATTGGCTGAATCATACATTTCATACTATAGAAATAATTACTGAAAATGAACAAGTTAAAAGATGACCGGAAATAATCTGGTTTGAACATTGCTTTTAGCAAACAGCCAAGTGTGTAACAGTATATAAAATTCAAAACCGGCTAATTATGGCAGAATAATCCAGTTTATTTAATTTGTAGGTTCCCCATTGGGGGACATTAGCTTCTATAATGTTAAGAGTTTTACAGATTGCATTGGAGGCAAGCAATGAATACTAAACTCAAAACTAAAAGGTTTTCTTCCCTTTCATCACTTGAAGAGACATTTTACCATCACTGGACAATACTTTGGTCACTCAGCGAACCTTTTCATCCAAATGCTTTAGCTGTATTCTTGCTGTTGCTAGCCTAATGTAGAGTGTAATTAAGGAAATCAAATTATTTTAAACTATAGTCTTAGAAATTATTTAAAGTTATGATTTGAACAAATGTATACATACTGTACATCTCTCATCTAATTGTGCCATTCTATAAATCGTTCTAATCCAAGTTTATAGTGGCAATCGTCATCCTTCCTGTCAAACCTCAGTGGTATTAATAGCCCTATTTGGTATAATTAAGTGGGAGATTTTACATCTGGAAACTGCTGTTAACATGATAGTCATTTTATTTACGATTCCTATTTATAGCACACAAACTTTATGGGAGTTCCTCAGAATTTTTCCCACTGGGGCAAAAGAAGCTTCCGTGTTTTTTTTCCATGCATTCTCTTTAGTTTTGCAGCCATTAAAATATAGTAATGCAGACTTGTTTTGAATTGCAAGTTTCACTGAGTCAATACAATGCCGTGGTACACTTTCAAAGTGTACAAAAGATAACTAATGGCAGTGAATGGAAACTGCATTGGCTTTGTTCTCTTTGCTATCAAATCATTGTAACTAGGCATTTAAATATGAAGCATTTTGCAGCTAAATAGTAATTGTTTCTTCAAATAACTGTAAATCGCACAAGTCTAAGTCAGCATTTGGCATTATTTTTGCATCCATATGAACGGGAATATGGAGGAGACTCACCATGGGAAACAAGTCCAGCTCTCTGCTCGTTTCCTCAAATGTATGCATGAAATACAATTTGACCTCCTGTAAAGGAGGTATATTTTCTACTGACTTTTTTTCAATCCAAAGAAAATTCACCAGTGGTACTGGAAGGTTATCTGTGTTTTGATAAAGTCTGAGGTGGATTTTACAATGCCTGGTGTAAGCAAAACCAATATGAGATGGCCTTGCTCCTGTGCATTTTTGTACTTGGGGGTGTTGTGAAGATTCTCTTTAATGATGTGCAAATTGTATATGCTGGATGTCGTCAATGTAGGCTATGAATGTATTTAACATTCTTGATAAAATTGTTACTTTGGTTACATTCAAGCTCTATTTATAATGCTCATTGTCGCTTAGAGGTATTGTAAGTGAAAATGCCTGTGTAACTGCAGCTATTTTTAAAAAAAACGTATTGTGGAATAAAAACCTTGAGAAAAAAAGCTGAAAGCAGAAAGATTGCTGATGAATTCTTCAATTCCGTCCAATTCCTGGATTGATCCTGTGAGCAATTTAAATTCTCATAAAGCTATTTATGGTTTGATATGTAAGTTTTTTTTTCTCTCTCTCTCTGGATCACCTGAAGTATCTCATTGTTAGGGAAACATTTTTTAATGAAAATCATCTGAATAAGGTTTGTTTTATTAAAGTTCCTAAATTGGATTGAACAGATTCATCTGAGAATCAATGATCTTTGCTTGTCAGAAGTCTGTTATAACAGAGCAGAATATTCAGACAGAAGTTTGCAATAAATAAGATTTTGTTCTTTAACTACTGTGGTAGGCAGGGCCTTTGACCTTGTCCGCCTTATTTCCCGCAACTCTACCCTCACCCCTTCCCCCTCTTTCCAGAAAGGTGATAGAGTCCCCCTTGTCCTCGCCTTCCACCCCACCAGCCTTAACATCCAACAAATAATTTTCCGATATTTCCGGCACCTCCCAACGTGATCCAATCACTGAGCATATCTTTCCCTCCCCTCTTAAGCATTCCGAAGGGACCGTTCCCTCCGGGACTCCCTGGTTCATTCCTTCATCACCAACAGTTGCTCTCCTCCCCACGGCACCTTCCCATGTCAGCGAAGGAGATGCAATACCTCCTCCCACACCACTGTCCAGGGCCCCAAACACAGATTTCAAGTGAGACAGTGATTTACATGTACTACCACCAATGTAATTTACTGCATTCGCTGCTCACGATGTGGTCTCTACATTAGGGAGACGAAGCGCAGATTGGGCGACCGATTTGTCAAACGCCTCCGTTCTGTCCACATGCACAAACCTTGAGCTTCCAGTTTCTTGCCACTTCAACTCTCCCTCCCACTCGCACTCTAACCTCTCCATCCACAGTCTCCTGCGCTGTTCCAATAAGCCAGAGCGCAAGCTCGAGGAACAGCACCTCATTTATCTGCTAGGGACCTTACAGCCCTCTGCCCTCAATATTGATTTCAACGATTTCTGACCGCTCACCTTCCCCCTTCCCCTCTTGTGTGACCATTACCACATCACCTGGGTCCCAGACACACCTTTTCTTTCTGGTCTGCCTATTTTGTTGCAAATTTTCCTCCCTTTGTTTTGCATTACTAACACCTCTATTCCCCTGCTTTGTTGTAATCCCCTCCCACCCCCCCTTGTTTTGCATCATTAACAAATCTTTAATCCATCATCCCATGTCCTCTAGTCATTTTCTCCTTTGTCTTCCTTGGCCTGCCTCCCCGCTCTCTGTTAGCCCTTAAAAGCCTCTCCCTCCCAACGTGCCCCAGGTCGTGGACCCGAAACGTTGGCTCACTTTCCTTTCTCCATAGATGCTGCCTGGCCTGCTGAGTGTTCCCAGCGACTTCTGTTTTTGTTTCGGAAATGAGTATTGCCTGCAATAGTGAGATTGGTCCATCTTTTACTTGCCACTTTCTTGTTGGATATTTAACTGATCGTAACTAAGAAATTGGCCACAGATTTATCTTAATTTACAATTTATATTATTAAAGTATCAGGCTTATTATATTTAGAAATGCATTTACTCTGCCCAATTATGTAGACATCTGCAATCTAACATCTGGTTCCACATGGGGCTGTAAACGAAAGTTCATTAAATAACAAGCTAAGAAGAATTGTCTATGGGATGAAATGTATTCATTGCTATTTTTATTGAACTTGGACACTTTCCATAAGGAAGTGTTTTGTGCCATTAAAATTTGGCTTTTAAAGTTGGAATGGAATGTGCTAACCTGGCTGGTAAATTCAAAGGTACACAAGAAGAATGAAAGAAAGCATTGGGATTGAAGGGATGTATTAATGGTTGGGAGTCTTTCATTGTATTATTTCATTTTTCAATGTAATTACTTTGAATGTTTCGCATAGCTTTCTTGTCCCTCTGGGCAGAATGTTCTGTTCTTGGTATTTAACAACATAAGATAAATTGAGGATACGAATGGAATAACCAAAGCTCGTTCCTCTATCGCATTACCTCTCGCTTCGTGCCATTTAATAGGATGTTAGGGCAACCTTTTTCATTGTGAATTCCGTTCTTACCAACCCACTTTTAAATTTAAATTATGTACAGCAGTTTGTAGCTTTCCATGTAATGTCTTCATTGACCTCACTTTATTCATAGCGAGAACTAAAGTCACAGCAATTGTTCGGCTTTCCAAACCGCTTGTAGTACAGTGCATTCAGCAGAGTTGTGAGACATTCCTACTTATTCAATAGAGAGGTGAAGCAATGTAATTGGAATGACCTGACTGAAAAGTAGTTTCTTTTAAGCAAATGGTGGAGAATTAGCTTGTCAGTTTTCTGTATCTAGACCTCAATCAAATGGAATAAAAATGGTTATAATAACGATCAGAAACACCTGCGGATTGATAACAGGGTAATTGATTCATTAAGCCTATTCTATCTGATGATTACTGCAAGCATCATTCTTATATTCTTCAGTCAGTATTGCTCAAACATCTCATTTCCACCATATTGCCCAATGAGGTCCCCTGAGTATATTCTTCAATATACAGACTGTGTTCAGCGGGATCTTTCTTCCCGCGTGTTATTTTTACCTAAATTCTTGCTAAATTTATGTTTTCCTAATTTTAAACATTCAGTCACTTGCCTCATATATCGCTTGATTAAATTCCTAGCTTCCACTTAAATGGTTCCTTCCACACAAACCATAAACTTATGTCTCCTCCCATTCTTTGATGCAAAAGAGAATAAATTCTGAGCCTGTTGCGATAACCTAGTAATTTGTCTGAAATAATTGCCTTTACTCTTCTGCTAATACACTGATACCCTTGTGACAACCTAAATGGAATGCAATATTCAAAATGCAGTCACACTCAAGCATTATAGAGAGGTAATATAACATTCATGGGCATATTTTTCATACTTCTGACAACTCACCCTATCATTATGTTTGACAATAAATCACCATCGTATACAATAAGACATTTCCAAACATCAGTCTATGAACCACTTCCAACTCCCTGCACTTTAATCATCAAGGCGGGACCATTTGTGTCATCAAAATAAATGTTTTGCATTGCAATGTTTTACTTAGCATTTATCAACATTCAATTGCATTTAGCAGCTGTTAGCCAAACTGCTGAGGCCTTCAAAGCTCTTGAATAGAATCTGCTGTATTTCACGTTTTACTTTGTCAGATTTGTCATCAGAAAATGTGTTACCTTTTTGTTTTTAATCCTCATCCAGATCATTTATGTAAACTGGATAAAGTAGCGGTCCAAAGAAATGGTCCCTGGGGAAATCCACAAGTATTCTTGCCTTTCTTTCCCACT